TCTTGATAAATCTAATTACTATGGAAAAAGTTAAAAAATATACATTATGCAAACATTGTGAACAACTCTGTGATCTCAAAGTGTATCACACAAATTTAAAATATTTGTCGTACCTCATTGATGAATGTAATGTGGAGTGCAGTTTACAAAATCCTGAGGAAAATCTATTTAGTACAATACAGAAGAATTTACTCAATGTGTCTACCAAGTTTTCTCGGATTTGTAAAGTTAAGTTTAAGTTTCAAAATATTATATGTATTTACTTAAGCATAGACATTTAGTTAATACGAGTGTCCTTTCTTACTCACCACTGAAGAAAGAAGATTTTTTAATTGATTTTGAAAAACATTTAATAGATGTAATTAATAGTAAAGAAATTATAAACAAAACCAAAAGAAGTAGTAATTGTTTAATTTTGATTTGCACAAAAAGTAAACAAAATATCTTATATGAATCAAGCCCATTACAAGTGTCATTATTTTGACATAAAAATTTCCACTTATTAATTTCGTCCGGGGTACCCTGGAGGATGTAAATTTCCGGAAATTTTTTGGGTTACCATGGTAACCAAACAAAAAATAGACTCTGATTGAATTAAAAATGGTGGTGTGAAATTTTCTATGTAACTCAATGTAAAATGAAGTGATTTTTTAAAAAAATTGGTGAAAAAAATCAAAATAATGTGAAAAAAAGTACCTGAGTACAAGTAACATGAGTGACAAAAACCATCAAAGCAAGATTTACGTCGTTTCAAATTGTAAAACAGGATAAAAATCAAATGTAAAACTAAAGAAAACACAAGAAGAAATCAATTCAATGTCTTTTTAAATCTTCTAATGTATTTATGTCTAAATATAATATTTAATGTAAACTAGTCACAATGTGTATCTTACGTAGTGTAGTTTATTTTATTACAAGTTTCTATAATATAAAATTTTACAGTTATAGATGCTGACTTACAAACAACAATAATTATGTATTAAATTTAACTTACTAGAAAAGAAAATTTATTTTTTATAGAGTTTTAATGTTAAATAAAGAGTTGCTACCTACTGTTATATTTTTTTTTGGACCCCAATTGTGTCATTGTAAATGTTTTTTATAAAATACTAAACGTTTAGAACAGTGGCAGCATATATATCGTTTCTCCTGCCGATAAAGCACTTTCTAGAGATGATGCTGTTCTATACTTTTTAGAAGATATCAAATATTATGAGACTATTTTTACTGATGGTACTGTTAGCAAAATAAAAAGGGGAAAGCTGAAATTAAAGGATGAGGTAATACCATGTACATTCCTAAATCTCCCTTTATACTTGTATTACAACAATAAAAAATATGTTCACTGTGTTTTATTTTACTTTTAAAACTATATATTAATTCAATTAAAAAAAAAATTTGCCACAAAATTTTATTTATCAAACAGCATTTAAGAAACCTTTTCGAATTTGGTCATACGTACCTAATTTGTATTTTATATAGATAAAATTAAATAATTTATCAATTAAAACATATAAGACTTATTTAGAAATAAATACAATAGTATGTTCTGTGCTTTATTTAGCTATAAACAAGTTTATTTTTATTATTTTGACAAAATTATGTATAATTCCCATAAGAAGCCATGTATTTTGAACAGCGTATGCAGTACCAGCGCCCATGCGGTTAATTATAGAAGCTCAATTAGCATGCGTTTTTTGGGACCGTATTTTGAGTATGCTGATTCGTCTGCTTATCTCTAGTCTTCATAGTCGTGTCTGTTAAAAAACATCTCTCTGACAATGAACATATGTATTTTAATCTTGATTTTTAAAGTTTTGATTGTTCTATGTAAGTTTCTGTTTAATCTATTGTTACCCCAGAAAATGTTAAATAAGGGGACAATAGCAATTTAAACAATAATAGACCAATATCAATAATGAAGAACTTTATTAATAAAATAATATGTTATCACAAAAAGGCATTACGGTTTTATAAAAAAGTATAGAGAATGTAGTAGTAATTTATTATAAAAAAAACAGGGGGCTATAGACGATTCCTTGAAATGTATATTTCTTGACTCAGCCAAAGCTTACGATAGTGTATGGTGTATCAATGATATTTATGAGAAGGAAAGTGTAGCTTATAATAATTGTATACAATTGTATCAAAAATGTAAAATTTGTGAAAATTTCATTTAATAATCTATTATTAAAAAATAAAAGTACCTGAATAACAAAGTAAAAAACACTTTATTTGCAAATAATAAAAAAAATTATATACAAGTCCTAACAATAACTTTCAATTAAACATTTAAAAATTGCCTCCTTCCAGAATGCAGTTGAACAAATTAAAATATCTTCTGAAGATTCATTATTAAATTTAACTTGTTATTTCTACCTCATTATTTACTTCAAATGCGGGAGAATCATACTTTATGTACAGGTGTAATTATTCCGTTTACTGTGCAAATATCTCCTTTTCTCAAGTTATTCATGGAAAATTGCATTGTCTCCATATACTTGCTTGGCAGATCTAAAAATAATAAAATATTATTTAATAAAGTATTTTCAACTACATTTTTTGGTTTCCTATTTTTTTTTTATTTTTATTATTTTTCTGTTCCAAATTATTTCATAAACATATTTGTGTTTTTATTTCAGTTTAGCAATATTATTGTAGATTTATTCATGTAAATACTAGACGTGTGTATAATATTTGTAACAGAAAGAGTTTATGTACATTTACAAAAAGTAGTTATTCATACAGAAAAATATACTTAAATTACAATTATTTACAATGACATGTAGCAAGTAGGTAATCCTCGGCCAAATAAAAACAGTATTACAGTAAATACTTGTGCACTACCCTTCTCATGTTATTTAGTTTTAATTTTTGAAGTAGGCATTATAAAGTTTAAGAGTCTATAAAGATTATGTGTTTTTGCTAATCTACATTTGTTCAAAAACATCCAATAGCCAATGTCCATAAAAATTACAAGTATGAGATAATAACTCCTTTTATGCAATAACAAACTTGCTATTTCTCAGGTAATACATAATATTTATACTTTTATGTATTATAAGAAAAATATTTTTCTTATACGTATAAATGAGGCCATCCTAAAATATAACAACAGGATAAAGATAAAATGTCCTCCCGAACGGCTGCAATGAAGCTCCTCCAACACACTTCTAACATGTGATTTCGGCAGTACCACTTGGCAGGCTACATGTAATCCATCGGGGCTTTCCCACTTCCGGTTCAATAGGCCATCGTAAAGATACAGGTAATCCCACTAAGTCCAGTACCCTTTTATAGTTCCACTGTATTTGGCTATCTTTTGCCAAGTTGGTGTGACTTTATTTTTGAGCCATTCTCGGACAACCTTTAAGTCATTGTCTTTCATCTGTCCCTTTCTCAGGCTTTCAAGGGTGATTTCTTCTTCGTCACCCTCTGGATTGATAGTGCTTGCTCGAAGAGTAACTTTATCAACCGGTTCCTCTCGTTTTTCGAGCCTTTTACTGTACCGGCGTTGTCATTCTAAACAGGGTCTCCTGGAAAGAATGTCTGCGTTGGAATGGAGACTTCTTCGATGCTTTACTTTCTGGTGATTGCTAGAAAGCCGTCTCGGTGTGGGTGATTGGCTTCTTCGGGATGTATAGCTGCTGTAATTATTTCTTGTAGGACTTCGTGACGGGCTTCGGAAGACTGATCTATATGATTTTCCGGTCTCATTCCCTGATTCTCGATTTATAGAATGAGCCATGCTTCTACAGGTTCTTCGAAGATGCCCGACTCTCCCGCAAATGAAGCATCTCCTGCTTCCATTTTGACTGATTAGTTGCATATTTCGTAGGATATTTAGGATCTGTGAGAGGGTAGGTTGGGGAATAAATAGCATTAGTATTGGCATCCTTACTTTCCTGGGTTATATATGAGGATGAGGTAGTATTTCAGCTTGAATGTTGCTTACGAATTCTTCTCTTTAACTCGCCCATTTCAGCTCTAATTTGCCTATCGAACTCTACTCTAACCTTTTCCTGTTGTTTTAAATTCTCTCGCTGTTGTTCTAAATTAGTTTTTAAATGCTCTTGCTGCTGTTTTAGATTAGCTTTTAAATGCTCTTGTTGTTGCTCTAAAAGAACTACTCTAATTTTAAGCTGACCAACCTCTTGCTTGAAGGTATCCTGGATTTGTAGCAAAGCATTCATAATTTCTACTTTAGCTTTTTACGCTTTTCTTTCTGCTCCTCCTTTTCCTTCCTACGCCTTTCCTTTTCCTCCTCCTCTTCCTTCCTACGCCTTTCCTTTTCCTCCTCCATCTTCAAAACCATGCTGGGGGACCTGAAGTATCCATGCCTGTTTCGTACTCATTGGATCTAGTATTTACCATGAACTTCTATCTTGTATCCCACCGCTGTCACCAATGTTACGCAGGTTTTTGATATTTCAATTTATTTGAACTCAATTTTTACAATAATTATACAACTGATTATTGATTACTGACCTGGCTTGCTTAACCCTTCTAGAACCTTCTCGAACTGCCCAGATTTTTCTTGACAAGGAATGATATTTTCCGACATTTCTGGACTATTCTATTTTCTTCTTTTACCGTACTTTTACTTATGACGACTGCATCACGATGCAAGGTGCTGCGTAACAATATGTTTTTACTAAAAGGTGTAGTGTCCCATATAAACTGTACCTACTATTAAAACAAATTATAAATAAAGTGTTACGTTTCTTTCTGTCTTAACATTCTTAACTTCGGCACTTATAAACTAACTATTGTTAAAAAATACAGTTTTACTTTAAAAAAATTTGGCTTTTTTTAACAAACTGATTATTTAGAATAACTTGTGTAGTGACTAACTATTACAATATAATTTATAAAACAGCATATCTCACATCTGAACATGGCTCATTGTTGACCAGTTTCTTGTTTTGAATCTTCTTTTGCTAGTCGTTTCCACCTTATTCTTGCTCTTCTCTTTCCTTTATTTTTAACAAAGTTCTGACCAATACATTCTTCGCTATCGTTTCCTCGCCCATTCTCCATATTTGTCCCAACCACCATATTCTTTGATCTTTCACTATTTTTGTTATCATAGGTTTTTTAAACAACTCATATACTCGAAGTTCTTTATTACATCTTCTTTCCCAAACTTACCTTCTTGTCCCTCCCAAAAAAATCCGTCTCAATATCTTTCTTTCCCATATCTCTAGTATAATTTTCATACCTTTGGATAGACCCCATAGTAGGTTAAATGGCATAATATGTTATTAAACCCCGTTATTAGGCCTGATGATGGCCTCAGTTACCGAAACTAATCTCTTTTTGCATATATCATATAATAAAAGTATGTGGTAATTGACCTTGACTTTTATTTCCTCATATAGAACGCCACATTTTGTGAATAAAGGACATTATTAAAAAAAAAAACACTTATAGAGCTAGTAGGTAGTATGAAAAAATATATATTAATATTATTACATTAAATTCTGCTTACCTCAAATTGTTCATATCGAATTTAATATTGTTACGTTAAGAAAAAAATCTGATAATAACCCATTATCTGCTCATAAAAAAACTTTTTGCGTACATACACCGATAAGATATTTACGCGGCGTATCATATTTCGCATGGGAAAAAACTTTTTTTTCGCTTAATACCATAAAAATCGTCTGGCCGGGTGTTGAGGACTGTGAGGGCAGGAAAAGCCAGACGAAATTTCATTTACGGCCCGGTGGGTGATGCCCGATGACTCCGATAACAGCTTGATAAATGGTTCTTCACGACAACGGGATAAAAATTTCGGTAACATTGATTAATGGCTTTGTTACCAGTTTCGAAGAATATCCGAAAATGTTCAGTGTCGAGTGAAATATGGTGTAGGAACCCGCGACGGGCACCCGGTACCCGATTTTCTATAAATTTCGTTGATTGAGAGATAAATTTGGGTTGGTTTATTGTTTTTGTGGAAGTTCGGTTTGTAGGAGAATTCTTGAGATGTAGATGTGTCGATAAGATGCTTGTTTGGGTTTTAAAAAATTCTTTAAATATTTAAACTTTCGTCTAAGCTATTTTTACGTATTTTGAGACAATGAAACTGAAAATGTTGAATTAGGAAACATTCTTAACATCTTCAGGACACATTGAGGTTTTTTCGATTACGAAAAAACTAAGCTTACTTACTTGTAAGTATTGCTATTGTAAACAAAAAACCTAAGTTCTATATCTAAAACAGTTAAGTTTTTAAATAAAAATATGCCGTTTTTTCAATTAATATTAATTTTACGGGAAAGGAACTGAATATGAGTTCTAGGTGGGTAAAACAACATCAATACGTCAATAGTTATATTACAAAATATTGTTAAGGCAAGAAAAATGATTATTATTAATTTAATTCATTACATAGAGTTAACTAAATGAAAAATTATCTTGAAATGAAAAATATTGTCATATTTTGTTGCAAGTGCAATATACAATGTGACAATTTAAAAACTTACATTGGGCTATATCTCGCAAACATAGGATCAAAAAATGCTTAAAACCATTTTTAGGACAGGAATGAGGAACTAAAATAACATGAAAAACAACTTACAAATTTGTAGTTCAACAAAACCTTCATTAACTTTTCCTTTTAAGACAAGGTTTCACATATATTGATCAACCCTGTACACTCTAGACACAGAATAATATTAATAGTGCAGAGTTATTTCCCGATAACTATGTGGTATTTAGAAGAAACAAAAATGTTGATGCAACGGAAAAAAGAACAGGAGGAGGTGCCCTTCTAGGAGTAAGAAATGATTGTTTAGGCTGATAAATCGATCTAAATGATTATCGCAACACAATTAATGGAATTGATGTAATAGTAGTTAAAATTTACTTTAAATATATCTTATTGTAGTGTATATTCCTCCAAAATTTAGTATAGAAGAAATTAACTTCTGTGAAAAGCTAGAATCAATTGAGTGTCTTCATAATAACATTATTTTAGATGACTGGAACATGCCAGATTGTATTAAGTTGGATGAGGGTCAATTTAATAACGCAAATCCACTTAGACTACAACATATGATTCATTTTCATGACCTCACTCAATTCAATAAGGTTTTAAACACCAATAATAAATTATTGGACTCCCTATGCAAGGTAACTCATGATGATATTCCATTTGTTGCAGAGGACTTCTGTCATCCGGCATTAAGCATTATCATTAACGTAAAAACTGACAAACTTTCCATTGAGTATAACTGATACATTTAATTACAATTTCCACAAAGCAAATTTTCGTCTTCTTTACGAGCACATAGTTAATACAGATTGGTCATTCTTAGACTTTGTAAAAGAAGTAAATGAGGTTGTTGACAAGTTTTATAATATACTTTACTCAACAATTGATCGGAAGTAACTTCAAAAAAAATACCCATTTTGATTTACAAAAGAAATATTAAACGATATTAAACAAAAAAACAGTATTATAAAGCAAACGAAAAATAATAATAGTCAACTTCATAGGCTTGAGTTCAGAGAGCTAAGGACAAGAATAAAACAGAAAATCAATATCGCTTACAAAAATTCATCGAATTTCTGGAAATATATTCACAAAAAAAGAGTTACTTCACAAATTCCAGGGCTCATGCTCTCAAATGGAGTCGAATACGCAACTCCTGATAGTATAGTTAACGCGTATGCTGACTTTTTTAGTAGTGTTTTTGTACCAAATTCAAATGAACCTCCTGGTATCACTCGTCAATCCTTATCAAACCCTAATATTTCCATCAAGAAGTTTGAAGAAGACGAAATCAGTACTGTGTTGCGTAAACTCAAGGCAAAATTTACTTGTGGTTATGATACCATACCTAGATTCTTTGTAAAAGACTGCGCTAATATGCTTGCACTCCCTCTTTGCAAAATATTTAACATTGCCCTACAAACAAAAGACTTCCCTGAGGTCTGGAAGTTGTCAAAAATCATTCCTATATTTAAAAACTGGTAAGATCAATTACATTACTAACTACCGCCCTATTGCCCTATTATCCAACTTTTCAAAGGCTTTCGAGATGGGAATATACAATTAAATTTTACAAAGAGTCAAAAAATTAATTTCAGATAGCCAACATGGTTTTAATTGTCAAAGATCAACCGTCACAAATCTGATGTGCTTTACACAAAAAGTCAGTCATGCTATTTACTCGCAAAAACAAACTGATACCATCTATACTGACTTCTCGAAGGCCTTTGATAAGATGGATCATAGCACTCTTCTAAAAAAAATGGAAAGTTTCGGTTTCGATCATGACCTTATCGCTATATTTCAGTCTTATCTCACGCTCTATGTTAAATTTAGAGGCCACAAATCTTACCAGTTTATGGCAACCAGTAATGCTCCATAGAGCAGCAATTTAGCACCTCTATTGTTTTCTCTATCTGTAAACGACATCAGAGAAAACTTTTTAAATGACTACTTATTATTTGCAGATGACGATTGCTTGATATTGCAGAATGATCTAGATATTTTGCACCAATGGTGTACTGAGAACAAATTACCACTTAATATTGAAAAATGCAACATAAGTTTGCTTTTCTTTAAAAACCAACAATACAATGTTCCAATATTCTATTAATAGTACTCCACTAGTGGCAGTTGATCAAACAAAAGATCTTGGTATTATTTTCGATAGTAAACTTAGCTTTTCAGAAAATATGAACAAAATAGTAGGGTAAACTGTCCCACAGTGATCCACTTTTTGTTTAGGCAAGGCTAGCTGCAGGGTTCACTAGATATTTTTGAAATTTATACATTAACTTATTCGCTGAAGTATTGGCTTCCAATTTCTATGAATAATTCGAAGTTATTTTTAAAAAAAGTACCAACCTTTCAGTTTTTTAAAAAAGTAACTAGTGTAATAATTGGCATTATTATTAATTGAAAAAATCTAAAGAATTTACCAAAAATTCTAAACAAGTATTTAATGTTTAAATTAAATAATTAAAAAGACACTTATGACAATGAAACAAACCTTCATTTTATTAATTTACATTGAACGTGACATTGTAAAATACAATCAACAGTCACATAAATTTTGGTTTATATAGAAAGGATCACTTGGGGGAAAGGCTCAGTCGGGTTCGGACTAAGGTCCAGAACTTTCGCCCCTCGGGCGAAACCCTGGTTTTTTATTGTAAAGTAATGTGTAAAGTTTTTTGTGTACGATGTGAATTATGGGTAAATATTTTAACTTAATTTTGTTTAATAATAATTGATTAATTGATTTACATATAAATGCCAATTTTACATTTTCGTCCCGAATTATATTTTATGCTTATCTTTATTACTATTAGTTATAGTGCATTATTCTCTAAATGGAATTTTATTCATTTTTTCTGCAGACTATTTGTCAAGTTTTTTATTTATTGTTAATATACATTTGTTAATGTTTTAATACTTATTATTAATCTCTCCTCCTTTCCCAAACCAGCAAAATACTCCGAGCATTTGAGAAGCCTCGGCGTTTCTATTCCCTTAGGACTAAAAGAGTCTAAAACTAGTTGCCAAGAACCGCTCGACATATGCTATTAAGGGATGTTTTTTTTGTAATTTTATTATTTTCTTTTATTATTTTATTTTGCCACTGGCGAATGGATGTTCCTTAAGGACTCCAGGACCCTTTGGCTGGTGACAGGCGCTGCCTTTATCCCTTAATAGTATAGTAACAGTAGCTAAAGACCTATCAGTAGTTGCAAATGGTCATTAGGCTAACTGGTTGTTACATTTGGTGACGAGCGTTGGCCTTTAGGATTAACCGGTTGTTACACTAGTGGTTCACTGTGTACCACGTAGTGGATACAGTGAACCACCATTAAGTGAACAGTGAACCAAATTAAAATAAATTGTAAAAAACATTATTTTATTTTTGATATTTTTAAGTCAAAATATTAGGCAAATAATTACAAAACTAAATATAATAGAAAATAAAATTTATTCTTTGAAATCATAGAACACTTAAAAACATTATACTTAAAGATAAACCATTTTAAAATACAAACAAATAGAACGCTTAGCGCAAATTTAAACCCGAAAAATTAACATCAAAAGAAT